CTAAAATCCTGTTCTACCACTTTGAGCCATGTGGATGTGCAGGCCTGCCTGATGAATGAACGGCTGTGGATACTTTCCTCATCTCCACTTCCTGGCAGCAAGGTAATGGGATCCAAGGACTGGGCGCGCGTGCAAACACACACACACACACACACACACACACGCACGCACGCACCACTGCCAGAGAAGAGTGCACCTGAGTTCAATTTCCCACGGGAGCAGTCACAGCTGCGGTGTCCCATGGTCAGAAAGCTAGTTTTTCCCTACCTTCCTCTAGACACCTGGCTCCTAGGCTTAGTATCTGAGCAAGATGAATCCAGAGAGATCTTTCTTTCTTTTCTTTTCTTTTCTTTTTTTTTTTTTTTTTTTTTTTTTTTTTTTTTTTTTTTGTTGGGCATTTTTAATTTTTTTTTTTTTTTTTTTTTTTTTTTTTTTTTTTTTTTTTTTTTTTTTTTTTTTTTTGGTACTGGGGATCAAACTTGGGACCTTGTGCTTTCAAGGCAGGTGGGGGAACCACTGAGCTAAATCCCCGGTGCCAGATATATATTTCTTTGGGCAAGGCTACCCTTCCTTTATAAAAAATGAAACCCTGGGTGGGTCGCTGTACTAAAACATGAAAGAGCCCATGATGGGTGCAACCGTGCCTCAGCATAAAAACATCTCACTGTCAGGTGTGGAGGGAACAGAGACCTTATGCACACACACAGGATTTTGAGGATTCAGTTGGAAAAAAAAGAATGCAAACTATCTCAATGATTTTATATTGATTATATATTATAATAGTATTTTGTTAACCCTAAAATTAATTCCACCTGTTTCCTTTTTAATGAAGCTACTTGGCTAAATACATGGATTTGTTAATTCCTAGAACCTGAGAATATCACTTTGTATGATAAAAGACTCAACTTTTTCTTTTTCTTTATTTTGAGATGAAGGTTGTTGGATACTAGGATACTTAGATTCAGATCTCACAGTCTCCAGGATACCTTTCTTTTTGTTTTTTGGTACCGGTGAGAGAACTCAAGACCTTGCAAGGCAGGCACAGCGCCACTGAGCTACATCCCCGGCCAGCCTCCTGGATATCTTGCCTCAGAACAGGGAAGTATGTGAAGGCCGCATGGCCCTGGCTATGGGTGGAATGCAGATAACCCACCACTCCTGAGGCAAGACAGCATCTTCTGAGAGCTGTCAATAGATAGGCATTTGGGTGCAGAGAAAATCTGGTTCCTCAATTTAATCCTATCCACCCACTCGCTGCAGTTGTGTTCCATGAAACCCGTGCTTCTCTAACCCCTGCGCTTCTCACTAGCCAACCTCGGAGCTTGATTCCAGTTTGTCCACTAGACGCAGATCTCCTCCCAGCCCTCTTTCGTACCTTGAAAACTGTCTCCATCTCTTTTTCATGCCTTGTCGTTCCTCCCAAAAGGTAGCTGCAGCTCTCCATACATAGTCTAGTTAGTTCAAATTGACCTTAAACTGTGTATCCTAGGCAGGCCTCAAACTCAGCCTCCCAAGAGCTGGGATTACAGGTGTGTGCCCCCATGTCCGGCATCAACATTTTGTGCAATGGAAAAAGTTGAGATTCTCTAAGAACTCCCTGTCAGGACCACAACATTGCAGACAGGCTAGACATGACCTTGAGTTGTCTTCTGTTGGAGAAGTTCATTTGCAGTTATAACTGAAAAAGCTGGGCCTTATTAGACAGAAGCATCTTTTTGTTTATTTGATTGATCCGGTTGTGGGTGAGCGGGCGAGTTGGTGGGTTGTTTTGGTTTTTTTGACACAAGGTCCCACTGTGTAGCCTAGGCTGGACTCAAATTCAAGATCCTCTTGCCTCAGCCTCCCAAATGTTGGAATCGCAGGAGTGTACCACTTTGCTTGACTTAGACACAGCAGTTTGAGAAACAGCACATCCAGGATGATGTGACTAGGTTACCCAACCAAGGGGTGAGGGACTGCTCAGCTGCTCCTGTCTGGGGTACCCAGCAGTCACTGGATGACAGGACCCCAATCCTCTGACTGATCTGATTGAACCAGGGTCACTGACCCAAGCTGAGGTACACAAGGGCTCTTTTGTTAAAATACAGACCTGGGAACCACAGGGACCTAATAACAACTAAGCTCAGAGGCTATATGGTGGGCTTTTTCATCTTCTGTGCACTGCCTGGATCAGAAAGGCAGAGGATCCCAGAGTTGAGAGAGAGGGAGGATAGAATCCTGGTGATAGCTCAGTCCCTGGTTCTTGTCTCTTCCTATCAGAAGATCTGTATCTGCCTAGTAAAAACCTCTTTCCTGCTTCGACTAGGGTAGAGTCTGTTTTCTGTTTCTATAATGAAACACCTGAGGCCAAGATACCTATAAAGAAAAGAAGTTTGTTTCGATTCGTAGTTCTGGCCCAAGACTGAGGGCCCACAGGGGATGAGGCCTTCTTGTTGACAGAGTCCCAAGGAGGTGCAGGGTGTCACATGGCAAGATGGGGGCACACTATCTCTCTGGACCTTTCCAACTTCTTAGAAAGCCACGAGTATCCAATCACAGGGCTTCACCCTAAGGACCTTAGCAAATTCTAGCCCCCTATCAAAGGCCCCACCTTCTACCTTCTTAATCTCTCACCATGAGGATTTAACTTCAACTTGGGTTTCAGAGGGGACAAACCACACCAGCTGCTTTAAGCTGATGTCCCTTCCATTCTACCAAAGACACCTTCTCATGACTTGGTTGGGAAACATGAATGTAAGTGAAGTGAGGAGTTAGAGAAAAATGTGCCAACAAGGCAGCCCCATAGCTGCTGCAGGGTGACCCTGACTCCTGCAGTCCAAGGAAACCTTAACCTCTGCTGTCTCTACTCCCATGCCTGAGTGTATGTCCAGGCCCGAGCTAGCCATCACTCACTTCACTTTCAAGAAGCCACACATATGTCTGCTCATTCTCCAGGAACCATTTGGTTTTGCCTATGCCTTTTTTTAGAGGAATCTAGGCAAGTACTCTACCACTAACCTACATCCCCAGTCCTATTTTTTGCGACAGGTGCCCAGGCTGACCTTGAACCTGAGATTCTCCTCCTGAAGAGCTGAGATTACAGGCGTATATCAGTTTCTGGGTCTGTCTGTCTTTCTTTAGTTTTATGAGACAGGGTCTCACGAGGTAGTTCAAGCTGGCCTTGAAATCACTATGTAGATCAGGCTAGCCTCAAACATGGAGTGATTCTCCCACCTCAGCCTCCTGAGTGCTGGGATTACAGTCACGCACCACCACACCTAACTCCCATAACTTTTAGAACAACAGCAGAGGACGTACCATCGATTTAAATTGCCTCTAAAATTATTTGAAGTAGAGTTGGAACATGTAGCTCAGTGACAGAGCACTAGTTTAGTATCTTAGTTACTTACTCATTGCTGGGGCTAAATACCCAATATCTACAAGTCAAAGAAGGAAAGGTTTATTTTGGTTCACAGTTTGCAGAGGTCTCAGCCTCTACTCGGCTGGCTCCAAGGAAGGGTGGCATTGCAGGAGAGAAAGGGCTCATGGCAAAGCAGACAGGAAACAGCAATGCTCAGGAGAGCAGAAGGGTAACCCTCCTCTTCCCAGCAGGCTTCGCCTCCCCACATCACACCCAGCTATAAACCCAGCAGCGGGCCAATCCACTATCGCACACCCAAGACCCAGCTGCTCCCCAAAGCCCCACCTACAAGTGCATGAGGCTTTGGGGGACATCTAGATAGAACCATAACAGCCTGACCAAGGGCCTGAGTGTGATTCCCAGCACCACAAAAACATCAAAGAAATACAATTATTGGAATCTCTCACGATCCATACACCTCAACTGATAGCTCCCCTAAGTACATCCAGCCTGGACACTTCGTGTAATCGCTGCAGTGTATCTTTCATTGCTAAACAACACAGAATGTGGCTTTCCTTGCAAACGAAACCCAGACAAGAAGCTGTATGAGCAAGTGGCTTGGATCTAAGCTCTCTGTTCCTGATCTCCTTATCTATACAATGAGAGTGATGATAAACAATTCCTACCTTAGGGAGTCATGGGGATTGCATGCATAAATGCCTGTGATATGCATAACACTTTTCCTAGCACAGAAAAGACTCAACCCACGAAGTGTTAATGACAATGATACAATTGGTGTGCAATTTGATGCTCCGATCTCCCCCATCCCCGCTGGCCTTTCACCACCTACCAACGTGTTAAATATGCAGTTCCCAGTCTCATCCCGGGCATTTCCTCTGAGTTCTGCGCTCACTCCCAGGTCCCTGGTCCTCTCAGCCCAGCTTCTTGCTTGATTCTTGCTGTTATAAGCCTGCCCTGGATGGGCAGGCAGTAGGATTCCCCGCAGGGACCTCCTCGGAGCTCACAATCCCCTGTGAAAGACCAGTGTCCACACACAGAATATGTAGCTCACGTGGTCAGAGGCTCTTTGTCCGACCTGCATCGGGGCCTCCTGGAGTGCTTGGGCAAACACAGTCCCCAGGACACATCTCTACCTAGAGCAGGACTCATAAGCTCTGGGTGAGGACTGGGACTCTGCATTTTAAGCCTACTAATTTTAAGATGACCTGGCTTGATGATTAATAGCTTTATGAATATTGGTACTAGAGAACCAAGTTTACTGCTTCTTAGTTGTGAGACTTCAGACAATTTGCTGAATGTTGTATTTAATACACACACACAATGCACACACAGAGATTTAATAATAGTAGTAAATTCATAAGGTTATTTTGAGGATTAAGTAAAATAATGAAATTGCATCCTATGACCTTGTATATAATCTACATTAGTTCTGGTACCTCACAGAATCTTTGGGGGATTTTCTACATAAACTCATGTCACCTGTGCATGAAGAATTAGGTTTTCCTCCAATATGTTTGTCTTTTATGTCATTTACATGACTGATTGCACCACGACAGTAATGAAGATCTGTGAGAGGGTACATCCCACATTGTCCCCAAACCTTGGGTGATGGGGTTCGTTCTACTCAACTATAACATACCTAGTGTCTTGTACCATGCCCGGCATGCAGGAGCATCCAAAAGAGGTTCAACAGAGTTAGATCTGTGTGAAGATAAACATGACACTGGTTTCATTGGTACCTCACCGGACCAATGCATCTATTATAAAAACCCATAGTTAGTAAAGGGATACCACATTGAAATTAAAATTAAATGAGAAACTTTTTTTCCAGTACTGGACATTGAGCCCAAGGCTTTCACAATGAGCCACATACCCACTGCCCTTTTTGAGACAAAGTCTTGCTAAGTCACTAAATATCCAGGGTAGGATAGAACTCACAATTCTCCTGCTGCCACCTCCCTGAGTATCAGGATTACAGGGGTGAACCACAATGCCCAGCTAGAAGTATTTTCAAGTATAAGGCTCCTCTAGCAGAGTTTGGGAACATAGGGATAAGCTTTGTACTTAATGGGCAGCAACACTTGCAACTTGCTTGTCTGATAAATTGGTACCAAATGAGTAACCCTAAAAAGAGAAAACAGGTCTAATTAAAATGCAGTGACAAATCAAAGAACCATCGCTTTTCTTCCTTGTCTCTAGGACTGAAAGTGTGAGAAGTAGGAGAATGGCTTTTATATATTATCAAAATGTAAGAGAGGTCCTGTCGGTTTTAATTGTGATAGAAAAAAAAACACACTTAATGCCTTGGGAATTAAACTTTTAAACACAAAAGCTTACATAAAATTCAATTAAAACATATTACTTCACGTCTACTGGTGTCTTAGGATTGGGGTATAGAGAACAGAAAGATGTTATAGTATTTAAAATAGTTCCCACCTCAAGCAATTTAATATGCACACCCATGTCTATAGCGGCACAGTTTGTAATAGCTAAAACTTGGAAACAGCCCATTTGCCCACCAGTTGGAGATTGGATAAAGAAGATGTGGTTTTTCTATAAAATGGAGTACTATTCAGCCATAAAGAATGAGAAATTAGATTCATTCATAGGAAAATGGATACATATTGAGGATATACTCCTAAGTGAAATAGATAAGTCACACATGTGTAAATACCAAATAGTTTCTCTGGTGTGACTAAACTATAATAAATAGTACATAAAATCCTAATGATATAATTGAAAATGTGAAATAGGAACAAAAGGGCTAAAGGTGCAGGGAAAGTGGGAAGGGTAGGGGAAAGGTAATAAGGGAAAATAAAAAATGTGAGAAAATTAAAAAATGGAAATAAAAGTATTTTTAAATAGGGAAGGGAGGAGGGGGGTGAAGGGAGGGCAGGGACAAGGGGATAAAATGAGAACCAAGATATGTCATGTAAAGGTACAAGATCCTAATGATGAATGTAACTGTATTGTATACCTAAAATATACTAATAAACTCAATGAGAAATAAACAAAGAAATTTAATGTTTGGCAGTAGATATCAGATTTACTAGAAATAGAAACTAGTGCGAACCCACTCTTTGCCAAAATATAAAATGGAAAAGAAATTATCAAAAGGAGGCAAATTTACGCAGGAAATTTTTCTGAAGGACACAGTATTTCAAAAGAGCTTTAAAAATATTAACACACTTCAGATAGCAAGCAAGAATAAAAATGTAAACTTTAGAAAATACGTTTAATTACAGACATTTTAGGTTACACTCATCATTTAAAGAGAGAGTGGAAAAGGACAATAAAAAGGTAGCTGCATTTTGATTCGTTCCACTGCTCTGTTCATGAAGAACTGCCAGCCTCAAGGTTTGCAGTGTCAAGAGGAGTTACACATACACTTACATGTTATGTGTCGCCCAGTTAGCAAATCGTGAACTGCTCATCTTTGTAAAATACCTTACTTCCAAATTCCTGTTGATTACTGTTTTTTAGTAGCATGAACGGAATTGATCCTTTGTAGTCGAGGCCATTTTTTTAGAAGTAGGAGTTAATATTCAACCAACATAAAAATACCATCAGGTCACATAATTGGCCTGGAAGTGGTCTCTCCAAACATTTTATTGCCTAGCAATTATAGAGAAATAAAAGTTTATAAGAGTCCATAAGGCATATATAGATCTGTGCTTTGATTGAAGCTGCCTTAAATCTTTCCCTCAGAATAAGAAGGTAATAAACAAGAAAAAAGCTTGTACGATTTTTTTTGTCTGCTTATCCATAATTTTCCGTTGGATTTAGTTTTGTTTTTTAACACAGAAAACACAAATCTTTCCAAAGCCAAAAATCAGATAATAAGGTATATTCAGAGAAGTCTTTCTTCCATCCCTGTTCCGTCTGTGTTCTCTTCCTGCCTTCAAAGAGAAACATTTAACTAATTCTGAGCCCATCTTTCTAGTGTCTTTTCACAAACACAAATTCACATGTGTACGCTGGCCATTCATTTTCATACAGCTCTCCCTTTGTCCCCCAAAGAGCACACCATTTTACAGCCTGGCACCTTGCTTTTTCACTAAAATATTTAGCAGAGCACTCCTGATCAGAAATTTTCCCTGCTATTTATACCCCCAACCATTTGAAGCACCTGCGTGAGCCCTTTAAAACATTACTAACGAAGTCATTAAAAATGAGAACTGTAACTATCAGCAGAGTTTAGCTAGTTCTGCTTATCTAGATCACATTTCAATTTGGGGATAATTTGCCCACGTGTCTCACCTCTGCCTTCCAACTGGTGGCACATGCTGACAGCACAAAAAACTGATTTGGATCATCTGCCCAGGGAAACCAGAGCTAGGTTTGGGGCTGGAATGACCCAGAGACAGCAAGAGTAAAATTTGCAGTCAAGGTGAAGGAAACAATTTCTGTCTTTGATCATACTGGACAGAAATCATGACTTCTACAAAAGGATGTTGTTAATCCAAATATGGATTAGTGGCCGGGTGTGGTGGCACATGCCTGTAATCCCAGCACTCCAGAGGTTGAGGCAGGAGGATCGCTGTTAGTTCAAGACCAGCCTGGGCTATAGAGTGATGTTCCGGGTCAGTCTCAACTACATAGTGAGACCCTGTCTCAAAAAACAAAAAAACAAATATGGATTACTGGGTAGAATTGGAGGGGCCCCCTCACCATCCTCCCAGTGAGCCACAGAGCAGAACGAGGGAACACTAGGCCCAGATGTGGATGACAGGGCTTGAGTTTATACAGAATGTACTGTATTTGGGGGGAGTTGTGACTCATTTGAAAGCTAGACACCACTCTCTGACACTGTCTTCCACTGAAACTGTTAAATAAATTGGTTATCCAAAATACGTGATATGGGATAATTACGTGACCAGTATAGATAACTGTAAAATTAAGTTTGTACAAGTTTGCACAGTGTCTGCTTTCAAGCCATGTATATTGCTGCCAGCACAGTCTGATGTCACCAGGGCCCTCAGGTCAAGGAGCATTCTAGAACTGGATGACCTTACAGACATTTTATTCTGTCCTTTGCAGCAGATATGGGGCATCTTGAGCTTATTCATTTATGATCAATTCCAGAAAGAAAAAAATAAAGGTAAAACAAATGTACATAACATTCACTTTCTTTTTTGCATTAGCTTCTTTAAAAATTGGGATTAATAACTTTAGGCACTAAAAAGATATTGCTGGTCATTTATAAAACATACACAAAAAAGAAAAATTTTCTGTGCTCTTCAGTGGAACCTTGTTTTTCCAATGTTTTATAAATATTTTCTAAGCTTTTTTCTTTATAAACTTACATATGCTTATTATGTTAAATATAGAAAATAGTCAAACTTATTTTCTTCTAGCATTTCTTCCTACATGTACATACATTTCTTCTTACATGTATGAGGACAGAGTCTGTAAATCTCAATGATATTTGACCAAAAGGATTCCGATAAAAGACTTTTTAATGGAAAATAAAGGCCAGGCATGGTGACACACACCTACAATCCTAGCACATGGGAGGCCGAGGCAGGAAGATCATTGTGAGTTCAAGGCTGGCCTGGACTACATAGTGAGTTCAAAACCAACCTTAACTACATAGTGAGACCCTGTCTCAAAAAACAAATAATAAATGAAGGATAAAGTTATATCTTTCAAAAGAAAATCCACTCTGAACCTAAGTAACTGTGAGATCGCGTCTTGGTTTCTGGGTGACTTAGAAAACTTCCTCCTCATTACAATCACACATTCTGAACTTACCTTTTCCAACAACTACTAAGTTTTAAAAGGATAGAGGTAAAAACCCCTAACAAATCTGTTATTTGATTAAAATGGTCCATTCACTTCCATGTTTCTGTAGTGTTGTTGAAATTCATAGTGCTACAGTTTTAGTGAGCTGAAAATAGTCCAAGTTCTTATGTACGACAAGGAAAGAACTGCCAAATGTATACCTCATAGTAGGTAGTAAGTTTACTGAAGATCATGGAGTAGCAGGAATGGGCAGAAATGGACAAAAGTGGACAAGAAAACAAAAGGAGGTCTCGATAACTCCGGCCCGGTATTTATAGGGTCAGACGCCACAGATCCACAGAACTGTCCACCGTCCATTGCCCCTCACTCTCTGATGTCAGCAGTCTGTGTGACCTCCTAAATTTAATCCTGGATAATCGTTAGGGTGGTGTTTGGTTTATAGTTGAATGGAGAGAAGGGAAGTGGCTCCCACAACTTCCCCGCCTCAGGATTATGGAAGCGTGGGTGACCACCAGGATGGCTCGGTGATACAGTTGAAGGAAAGATGGGAAGGGAGTGACTCAGCTCCTTTGTTTTGCTGTTGTTGTTGTTGGTGTTTTTCAGCACCAGGGTCAAACTCAGGACCTTATGCTTGGAAGGCAGGTGCAGCAACACTGACCTAACTAAATCCCTGGTGCTCAGCTCCTTTGTTTCTAAACTGCACTAACAGTGCTCTGAAATCTGCAGAGCGTCCTTTTCCTTAATCAAAGATGACACTACTGAATCACTCCTTACAAAAACACTCATAGAACACTGAAGCTACTGGAGCACAGATGATGACCTTTCAATGATGGTCTACAATTTTCTCACCATGCCTCCTTAAGACCAAAAACTTGCCTCACCAGCAGCAGAGATGTGGCAGCCATGGCCCCAGAGCAAACCGGCCTTGATAACAATCGATCTAGGGCCTCATCAATCTCACATTCTAGACAGAGGGCAGTGTCATTAGGCCAGTTTAAGTGAAATGGGCTACAGAAATCTAGTCTCACAGAATGGATAAACCATGAGGTCATATTTGCTTTAGAAATGAACTCTTTCTTCCAGAGAATTCCTTTAAATAACCAGTCTCTTTTATGTGTACTTCAAGTAATAATCAACTACATTCAAACATACCCTTCAGGAACTTGCTCACGAGGAGAGTTCGGTACACAAGAATTTTCTGTTTCGCAGGGGGAAAAAAATCTTTTAAATGTTGCTGTTTGACACATTTAGCACAATAAACAATTATCGAAGTTTCATTTTAATTATAGGTGATGTAATTTGGGGTTACAAGGAGCTACAAGGCAAATTAGCTTGCTATTTTTCAAGGCCTTGTTCAAACTATATGGAATTTTAAAAGGGGGAAAAGGTACTTTGAAGGATATAAAGTATGTAAATGTTTAAGACTTTCAACGCAGTGGTGGAATACCTTTACTCAGGGCTTTGAGATCACAGGCTTGCTATTAATACAAACTCCAAAGCAAAATCGAGCAACAGTTTCATTCCTAAGAACAAAATACCCTACTGCCTTAGGAACTTTTCTCCTTGCTGAGACAAAATACCCAACGTACAAGTCAAGGGAGGAAAGGTTTATTTGGCTCACCATTTGTAAAGGTTTCGGTCCACAGTTGGCTGGCTCCGAGGCAGGGCGTCATGGAAGAAGAGCATCGCAGCGCAGAAACAGTTCATGGCAGGCAGAAGACAGCAAAAGCAAGCAAGCAAGGGACAAGATAGGCCTCTTTCTGTCCCCGATATTGTATCCAGGGTCCTGGGATGAGGGAGGTGCCAAATCAGAGGACTGATTCAGTAATCACACACCCTTAATCCTAGCACCCTTAATCCTAGCATTGCTGCATGAATCAGTCATACAGTAGATTCAGCCACCTCTGAAAAAGCCCCACCTGTGGCTGCATAAGGCTTCAGGGGACATCTACATACAGGCCACAACACCTACTATCTTCTCTCCCCATCTCCCCACCTCCCCAACCTGCTAATTGGGGTTGAACCTAGGCAGCTTGGAACTACAACCCTAACCCTTTTTATTATTTTATTTTGAGACAGGGTTTACCTAAATTGCCCAGGGTGGCCTTGAAGTTCAGTCCTCCTGTCTCAGCCTCCCTGGTAGCTGGGATTACATGCATTGGTCTCTACGCCCAACTTCTCTACTACTTTAATAATAAATTACTCCAATTCACTATGTTTATTAAACTTTTTAATTGGTGTGTCTAAGGGGCACAGAATAAAAGAGCAGGTCAGGCTATATAATTTGCCCAGCCCAGTACAAAATGAAAACACACAGCCCCTTGTTAACATATTAAGAATTTCAAGCGAGTAACTGCGGGCTGTGACCCCAGTGCAAGTCGGGCGCAAGGTCAAGAGCGGTAGGTCGAAGAATGCTGACTTTGTCACACTAACGAGCTGTAGGAAAAGCCGCTCAGCACAGCTAATTACCCGGAAATCAGTCGGAAGCTGGAGTGATGTAAAACCACCGATTTTTCACTTTCCCTTTGTTTTATTTTCTCTTTCCTTCAAAAGCGAGGCTTGCAAATTCGCATTTTTCTTTTTTTCACAACACTCGCACACTGTCAACAAACTGCCGGCGACAAGTCTGAGCGCCTCAGAAGGCGACCGGTCCCGCCGGCCTTTCCTGGATCTCT